TTCCTATGCTGATCCTGGGCCCTTCCCCATGTGTCCAGGGCCAGAATGTGACTCTTCTTAAACAAGTATTTTAACAAAAATTTATTAAACACCTATTATGCACTGGCACTTTTTTAGTTGTGGAAAATAGGAATGAATGGGATAAACAAAATCCTTTCCCTCCTGGAGATTATATTCTCTGATACTCATTGACTTGACCCTTCTAACGGCTCCTCAATATACTACAACACACAGAGTCATTCCCAGTTGACATAAGAGGAAATCATGACACAAGAATTTTTCCAAAGTTACAAGGCCACCAAATGACCTGATCAGCATTCAAACCTAAAGCTCTTTGACCCTCAAACCCTGGCATTTGACTGTGATCCCAGAAGTTGCAAACTGGCAGCTAGGGACCATGTGTATCATGGGATGCACAGAATATTATATCAATTCATTTTGCAATAGGACCTTGGTATGTATCCCAATCTGACCTTGAGCTCATGATCTTCTTGCCTCAGCCTCTTGAGTGCTAGGATTACAAGTATTCGAGTTACAACCACACTCAGTGATATATCAAGTCAGAAATGGTTAACATTTAAAATGCAGGTAATTTGCAGGCATTGGTGGCACATGCCTTTAATCCCAGCACTCGGGAGGCAGAGGCAGAGGATCTCTGTGAGTTCGAGACCACCCTGGTCTACAAGAGCTAGTTCCAGGACAGCCTCCAAAGACACAGAGAAACCCTGTCTCGAAAAAAAACAAAAAAAAGTAGGTAATTTTAAAAAAATCTGAAAGTTTTGCTTTTCCTTAGAAAATAAAATCAGGACTTTAGCAACATTGGCTCTGCTTTCTTGGGTTGTACCCATACACAAACATAAGAACATGCTGTCCTTCTGTGTTCTGGCTCATCAAGCCCCATCCAGTTCAGTTTCTACTCTCATCTCAATGGCCTGGCCCCTGAAAGCATATGACTTTATATCTTCTATGATTCTGTATCATAACCAGGCAGCCAGAGCTCAGTGCTATGCCCCTGCCTCAGTCTCTACATCAACAGCTTGGAGGTACAAAGGAAGCAAACACAAATTTGTACACTGGAGAGATTTCTCCATGGCTAAAAGTTCTAGATGAATTAGATCCCCAGGACCTACATGGTGGCATACAGCTATTTGTAACTTCACTTCCAGGGGTCCAACACCTTTTTCTGGCCTCCACCAGGCATGCATATAATGCACACACCATACATGCACCCAAAATACTAATACAAATAAATAAATAAATTAGTAAGTGTGTAAAGTGTCAGCATGTGCCAAAGGTCCACATAAGTTGTTCTCTGAAACAGCTGTTCTTTGCCCTCTGCCCACTGTGGTAGTCTGGCTTCTCACCAAGTGTCAGAACCATCTGGCAGGGAATGTCCCAGCCAGAATTATGATCTGGAATGTAAGGGGAAACAGCAAACCTGCTTGGGAGGGAGGGAGATGAACCATGACTTGGGGCTTATCAAGAGCTGAAAGGGACTGCTCACCACACCCTGGACAATAAACTGCCACCTTGGGATTCAGTGGGAAGGGCAAGGACTGATACTATGCCATCTGAGCTCCAATCCTGCAGGTCCTGGAGATGATGAGTCAGATGAGGAAACCATCCAGGGAGGAGAAGAAAGAAACCCAAGATTGTGCCACAGTTTCCCTGAGGCTTTTCTATGGACAGTCTCTTCCTAAGGTCTCCAGGGCTGTGGTCCTTCTCTGTGTGAGGACTGCTAAGTTTCTCCATTCTTCTAGACCTCTAAAGATGACATAGTGTGGGTGAGTGTGGAACACTGGACCTAACACATACCAGAGGCCCCACAGAGGAAGAATTCATGCAGAGGAGATTTGGAAACTGAAAGAGGTGAAGATGGGCTTCCAACACTTGATTCATAAGTACAGTAGTTTCTTGAACTGACAGGATCTTGTTTGTCATGGTGCATGCCTGTCCTCCCAGCATTTGGGAGGCAGAGGTAGGCTAGCCTGCACTGCTGTGTACACTCATTAAACAAAGAAATAAGGACAGAAACAGGTCAATTCTCCTTAGACTTCTAAATCACTTTTTCCCCTTCAGTGAGGATCACCTTCCAAAATCATGGTAGCACGAATTTCATTTCATCAAAATACATGGGCTCCACATCCGACAGCTTTCATATGCTCAACATTGCTGACACTCAAGGCCATTTTTCTGATAAGGTTTTAATCATATAAACATGTGTCATAACAGCACATGAATTTTTTTAAGAATTTAATTTCAGCTGGGTAGTGGTGGTGCATGCCTTTAATTTCAGCACTCAGGAGGCAGAGACAGGCAGATCTCTGTGAATTCAAGGCCAGCCTGGTCTACAGGGTGAATTCCAGGACAGCTAGGGCTCTTAAACAGAGAAATTCTGTCTCAAAAAAGAAATAAAATTAATTTAGCAACCTTTTCAAGTCTCAGCTCTAATTTGAAATTTCCTCCTCATCAATGTCCACATGTCACATGACACAATACAGCAAGACTGTGATTTTCACAGTACTTTGTTTTATCATATTATCCTACCATGAATGTTTTCCCAAGATACCCAAGATATCATTTAGACATTGTATGTGGCGATATGTGTGATATATGTACTTGTTATGGTGGGTATGTGTACATCTGTGTATATGCATGGTGTATATGCTTCTTTTGTGTGTGTGCACATGTGTACATGTGTGCTTGTTACTATGTGTGTGTGTGGTGGATGTACATGTTATTATGGGTGCATGCACATCTGTGTGTGAGTGTGTGGAGGTCAAAGGTTGACAACAGATGTCTTTGTTCAGTCTCCACCATTCTTTTTGAGACAAGATCTCTCACTCAACTTGGAGGTTCCTGATTCAGCCAGGCCTGCTCGCAATGAGTTTTACCCCACTATGCCCAGCTTTTCATATGGGTGCTGGGACATAGACTTAGCTCTTTATACTTTCACAACTTTAGCAACCAAGCTGTCATCCCAGCTCCTTAGAGAGACATCTTAGTGACCATGGAGAGTAGGTATGTTATACATCAGGTGACCACTTCTCTGTTGGTCATTGAAGTCTTTTCCTTCCTGCTCTTTGATTTCAGTGTTTCTATAATGTCGGGTGGTATTTTCGACAAAGCCACTGACAGAGTGAAGAATGAAGATGGCCAGACCCCTCCTAGACCGAGTGACTCAATCTCGGTCCTGCAGGATTGGAGCTCAGATGGCATAGTATCAGTCCTTGCCCTTCCCACTGAAACCCAAGGTGGAGATGC